CCCCCCCCCCCCCCGTCGAATCACCTGTGTCTCTGTAAATTACGTTACGTCTTCTTTGCCCCGTTTCACGTAACGTGCCCGTAAAAAAATATGCATCGCTCGCTCTTTGAACGCTGTAAATTCGAATGATCTATACTGTGCGATTCGCTGTTGTTCTGATGTTTTGAAGCGCGGCTCTTTGAGACACTGCCAGATTCCATTGATTCTTTGCACGTACACGCGATTTTATTTTAAAATATGAAGGACTGCTCTTCTGTGTTGCAATGCCCTTTGAGAAAATAATTCACTACGCGATTGTCCGATGCTTTTCGTTCTATTCGCGAGATCCGTTGTCAGTCTGTGCTAATTATATTTTAAGATTCGACATTCTGCCTTTCATCGATGTGTGGCATGATTTTTACTCTCGATACGTATTATTCTTATATATTTTAATATTGTGGAACCGTCATCGTCGAACATTTGATTTTCATATTATTCGAATAACCTATGACTTTAAAACTGTGAAAACAATCATTGCAATATAATCAGTTACTACGTTCGTGTGCCAGTGTTACAATTTTGAATATTTATAGTTTCTGTACTTTTCAAATTTTAGCCTCAAAATTCTTGTTTATTTTTCATTGAAGAATGTCGAACATAAATAGTAATTCTTCATGCTCGTGTGTCAGTGAGGAAGATGTACATATCAAAAGAGATACGGATATTGACAAAGAACCTCAGTCTGCAATTCCTACAGAAAGTAACCTATTAATTATAAAATTGTTTCTGTAGTTCGATTAAATTTCTTAAAAATACCATACTCTGTTTTATAGTATTTCGATTAGATGAAGTAGACGTAATATCCAATTGTACATCACGAAAAACATTATTAATGTATAATGGAAATGCAGAACCTGTTGATACTGACCCTAGATTACGATTACAAGAAACAGTACATAAACAGAATTATAGATTATCGGTTGTATTTCCACAAGTGAGCTAAACTTGTAATGACAGTGTCAGGCATTGGTTGTTATATTAATAAATACTTTGACCAGATGTTTACAAGAACTTATTTTGATTCCATACCAAACCTATATGACAAAGTTAACGCTCGAGCAGCGAAGAGATCCAGTAGTCACTACGTACATACAGAACCCACCCAGGCAAAGAACAAAATTGCAAAACATAATGTAAATGCCCCAGTGCTAAAAATCATTTATGTTGCAGATAAACGTCCATTATTACAAAATGGCTGAAGACCTGGCAGCGCAAAGGTTTATAAAACCTGGTAGCCATAAAGGTAAAGGTCTTGCTGTCTTTACTAGTGGAGGTGATTCCCAAGGTAAGGAACCATGCTATTTCAGTGAAAAAATATATTATGTTATATATGTGTTTTTACATTTATACTGCAATCAACTTTTCAGGGATGAATGCTGCTGTTCGAGCAGTTGTTAGAATGGGTATTTATTTAGGATGTAAAGTCTTTTTCATTAAGGAAGGCTATCAAGGCATGGTAGACGGTGGAAATAACATTGTCGAAGCAACCTGGTCCTCTGTGTCTTGCATTATCCATAGAGTACGTATAAAATTCTTCCTTTCTGTTTTTCAATTTTGAGTACTAATAATTTTATATGCATTTTAGGGTGGTACAGTAATTGGTTCTGCGAGATGTATGGAATTCAAAGAACGTGCTGGTCGTAGAACAGCTGCCAAAAATTTAGTAACTCGTGGCATAACTAATTTAGTTGTGATTGGTGGTGATGGTTCTCTTACCGGTGCAAATCTCTTCAAAGAAGAATGGGCCGATTTGTTGAAAGAACTGGCCGACGCAGGTGAGAAAAATGTATATTTCTCTATACATTGGTTGCACTTTTAACACTGCTTTCTTATATTTAGGTGAAATAACTAAAGAACAAGCAGAAAAGAATCAGCACTTGCATATTGTCGGTTTAGTGGGTTCTATCGATAATGATTTTTGCGGAACTGATATGACCATTGGTACCGACTCCGCACTGCATCGTATTATCGAAAGTATCGATGCAATCGTTAGTACAGCTTACTCTCATCAAAGGACATTCATTATGGAAGTTATGGGTCGCCATTGTGGGTAAGCAAACGATACAATAATCTCTTACAAAAACTTGGTTTTTTAAATTGATATTACATCATGAAAATTTCGACAAAAACAACTTTTCAGCGATAAAGGAAAGTTTATTACTAATAGGGTAGATTCTAATAATTTGCATAACTCTTAATTCTCTAGTATTGTTTACAAGTGTGATAAATTTTCGGATAGGTATCTGGCCATTGTGGGTGCTTTAGCTGCAGAAGCAGATTTTGTTTTCTGCCCGGAATCACCACCGCCTGTTGACTGGCCTGATAAACTATGTAAAAAATTGGAGCAGGCATGTTGATTAGGAAGTCCCAAGTTCTTTACCATATTGTTGTCTTTCACTAACTAAATTTAACAAATACAGTAATTTATACAATATTTTCCCTATATGTTTGGTTGCTTACTTCTGTTTCTGGTATTGCAAAGGAAAGCAGCATTACTTCCTATTTATTTTTATTTCCTCTTTCTAATTATGTTCAAAAGAATCAAATGGCCAAGTCTGAGATCGAGTCTTATTTTGGAGAATTTTCCATTTGGTAGATAAATACACAAAAAATTTTATCCAGTTGTTGTAAAGTTAATAAAACTAGAGCCTTTCAGGTATCTGACGTTAGCCTCGAGTTTATCTTCAGAAGCATGCTATACCTTCATACCTGAAGCACCGACAGCAGGTGATTGGGTCGAGGAGGTTTGCAAAGCTGTGCAACAGGCACGTTTCGAACAATCATGTTATTTTTAATCGAATATTTCAAACTACGACAAAACCTCTTTTATGGCCAGATTTGAACACATGCCATTGAATTCATTATCTTTCGTTAACGAAAGCGTGTGTCTGCTCCTTTGCTACTGTAGTTAGATTTGCCAGAAAAAGAAAAGTATGCTAATTTCCGAACAGCTGAATTATATTAGGCCAAGTAAAAGCTGTTCATTAAATCAAATACATTGAGTGTGAAACATGTAATTTGATGTCTTTTGAAACATGTAATTGTATTTACTCGACTCGCCTTTTATTCATCAAACTTCGAAACTCTTGATTCCACAATTTTCCCCTTTCATTTAATAATATTTTTAGTTAGCTTTTATATCATACTATTCCAGTTACCTGGCTCTAGTGGCAGCCATATGTTGTGAAGCTGACTTTGTATTCATCCCAGAGTGGCCACCTGAACAGGATTGGCCAAACAAGCTGTGCAAAAAATTGTTGCAGGTTCGCAATTTAGTTTTTTTTTTATTATTTTTTATACGGTTCAGCAAAAATAGCTGTATGTACATTCCACTATTTAGCACAGTCAGACGCAATGCAGAAATTTCTTTTGATAATTTATGCTTAATTCATTTAGCTAGGAACGAGTGGTGAAGGTTATCCTTTTTTTCATTTCAATTCAAACTCTTTATTTATCTTGGTAAGCTTATTCACATAATTGCACTTTGTTCCTCTTTTAATTTGTACGCCATTTAATTGTGCACATTAGTCTCACATAGTTTTAAATCTAACAAATAGTAACAAGTTGTTTTATAACAATTTAGTTGACATTAGCCACTATATTGACACTCTGTTCTTTTATTTAACGTTTTAAGTTGTCCTCGAAATCTGAAAGTTTTTTCTAATACAAATCATTTTTATGAATAGCTGTTGACCTTTCCGTGCAAGTATTAAAATTGTAATGTTTATTTTCCAGGAAAGACTTACTGGCCAACGTTTGAATATTATTATCGTAGCTGAGGGTGCAGTGGATAGAAATGGTCAACCAATTACCGCAGAAAAAGTTCATAAAGTTGTCGTTGATAAACTACAACAAGACACCAGAATTACTGTCCTCGGTCATGTTCAAAGAGGTGGAAATCCTTCAGCCTTCGACAGAGTTCTGGTTAGTTATTTTCTATCGCGTTGGTATCTAAACTATTTTCAATTAATTGACAAAATTTCAAAGGTGATATATTAATGTAATGCCGGAAATGTAAAGGGTTGTCGAATGGGTGCAGAAGCTGTAATGGCTTTAATGGAGGCAACACCGGAAACAGAAGCGTGTGTGGTTACATTGGATGGAAATCAGGCTGTTCGATTGCCGCTGATGGAGTGCGTACGTCGCACCAAGGCGGTGGCACAAGCCATGGCGGACAAAAATTGGGATTTAGCTGTTCAACTTCGTGGAAAGTAAGACGAAACTTATTAGTGAATCAAATCATTGGATTTACAGCATAGAATTTCTTTACAATCTACTTCAAATATCTTAGGGGATTTGCTCGCAACTTGGAGACATACAAGATGTTGACTCGCTTGAAAGCACCGGTTGATCATGATCCCAACAAGGTATGATATCGTTGCCCATGTATTCTAGACAATTACCACGAACTTAAAATCTTTCTTCGAAATTGCAAGTGAAATTTGAAAGAATTTAACAAACATTGGATACGAATAGAAATATTCGAAGGTTTTTAGTTCGAAATTTTTACAATTATATCGAGGCAAAGACTTATCTACATTACTTTTATTGTTTAATACGGCTGCAGGAGAGTAATGGCCCCACATTAACGAAGGTAAATTTGTTCAGAAAGAAATTTGCATGTACATTTATCTGCTAAGTATTGTATTTTGACGCCTCCATAGCACAGACTTGCTAACACGTCCATTTTTTTTCTTTCTAAACTAGCAATTCACCTTATGCGGACAAGTAAGTTAACAAAATTCTTGAATCATCATTTTACTATTGTCACGTTTTCATGTCTTTTTTTTTTAATTTGTAGCAAGCGTTTTGATGAGCAGACGGAATTCAGAACTACAACATGTGTTCATTTTTTATGTGCACGTTGCATGGAGCTGCAATCAGTTCCTCCAAGATATTATACGAAAATTTTGTTTCAGGATCATTACACGTTAGCTGTGATGCATATAGGATCGCCTTCCTGTGGTATGAATGCAGCTGTGCGTTCCTTCGTTAGAAATTGTATATATAGAGGTGATAAGGTATCATCATTTTGCAATTAGCATTTTCTTTTATACCCTGCAATAGAGATTTCATTCTAGTGCTTATCTTATAGGTTTACGGCATTTGCGACGGAATACTAGGCCTTATGGCTGGGAAATTCAAACCAATGAATTGGCCTTCTGTCACCGGCTGGGTAGCACAAGGTGGTGCATACTTGGGGACAAAACGGGCTCCTCCGAAAGACGAGCAGTTACCGCAAATTGCTCAAAAATTGAAGGAGTTTGGAATTCAAGCGTTACTTATTATCGGAGGATTCGAGGTAACAATTTGTGGAACAACCCATGTCGAAGGAATTCTAACTACCTGTTACTTTTCTCTCAAAAGGGTTATCAAACGGGTCTTACATTCTACAAAGCCAGGGATAAATATGAGGAGTTCCGAATTCCCATTGCGATGATACCCGCAACTATCAGCAATAACGTGCCAGGAACTGAATTTTCACTAGGCTGTGATACCGCTCTGAATGAAATTACGGAGGTGAATTGAAATTCTAGCTCTGTGATGAATATAATAACATAGTTGTACCAAACAACTCTCGTGTCTATATGTGTATATCACTTTTAGATCTGTGATCGAATTCGTCAGTCGGCACAGGGTACAAAACGCCGAGTATTTATTATCGAGACCATGGGTGGATATTGCGGTTATTTGGCCACTGTCGCTGGATTGGCCGGTGGAGCCGACGCAGCGTATATATTCGAGGAAAAATTCAATATCAAAGATTTGAATCAGGACGTGATTGCAATGGCAGCAAAAATGTCCGAAGGTGTACAAAGGGGTCTCATTTTGAGAAACGAGAATGCCAACTTGAACTATAGTACAGATTTTATGCAAAGACTTTTCAGCGAAGAGGGAAAAGGTCTCTTCAGCTGTAGAATGAATATCATTGGTTTGTATTGAACAGTTTAATTTTTTTTTTTAATCGCTTGGCTAATACAAACAGTATATTGTACGTGTCACAATTGATTGCAGGACACATGCAGCAAGGTGGTTCGCCAACTCCGTTCGATCGTAACTTGGGCACGAAAATGGGCTCTAAAGCGGTCGATTGGTTCAGCGATCAATTGAAGAAACACACAAATGCCGAAGGTATTACGTTAACTAACGATTCCGACTCCGCAGTGATGATTGGTATAGTACGGAGACAGTATAGATTTACACCGTTCTCCGAACTTCTCGATGTCACCGACTTTGAGTAAGTAACACGCAAGGACGTAAATAATCGATATCGTTTGGCAGTTTACAATTGGAATTTCAAATGGTTTTCTGTTTTCGAAAGTGTCGAATAACATTTCTTGAATTATACAGACATCGCATTCCAACGTATCAGTGGTGGATGAAGCTGCGGCCGTTATTGAAAGTTTTAGCGAAACACGAGTCCACCTACGAGGAAGAAGGACTCTATATAACCGTCGAAGAAATGGATCTTGATAATGACCCGCCTCTTGTCTAAGCTACAAATTTCACGTCACGAATATACAGTATAAGGTAATGTTCCGTAATAAACTGTACAATGTTAAACGTACGTTGATCGTAGATGTTTTTAAAGAGTATGACAGTATTGTATGGCATTATGTTAATCATGTTACGTTGTTACTTTTGAGAAGAAAGGACGATGATGCTAATAGGTAGTTGTAAAGTAGAACCACGACATTCTACAAAAATTAATATAAGTTGGCTATTACATCGACCACTGAAAAAAATCACTATGTATAAGCGTGTGTACCTGTCGTCTACATATTTAACGAATCGATAATGAGACGCGCGCGTTGATAAACTGAATGTGAACTATTTAAATAAACGACAGATTACTATACACTATTGCCATGGATAAGAATGCAGATCAATATCTATATCTATATATATATATATACATATATATGTATAGTAAGAGTATAAATTCGAATTTATGTATTTTAAATGCGGTTTAAACTCAGGTGAGAAATAGGTACAAAAATAGTACCTGAAAAAAACGCGAAGGTAAGCTATCATATACCTGAATAGTGTAAGAAAGCAAAGCAAGTTTATTAGAACACCTGCGTAGAACAACGTTTTCGTTGATGACAGTTGTATCCTTATAGCAGTGTCATTTGCTATTCAGAAACGAGCGCATCATGTATGCATAGTTTCGAGATCAAAACATATTACAACAGAATGGTATATACACAATGAAAGAAGATACATCCGATTACACAGCCGAGTCCGATAATCGCTCCATGTGGTATTCGAATCGAATACCTGTGAAGCGCTTAGCATACTTGGCATCGCGTTCACCCTCATCCGCGTAGAATATTGAACCAATTTCGGAGATATTTAAAGACAAACAAATGACATATTTAGCAGTTATTACTTATCCACTGTTAAACGTTGACCGAAGTTGATTAGAATAAGAATGCGTTGTTCTCATTGCTTCAACATTTTAATTGCAACACGAATCACGGAGTCATAAAGAAAATCATGAAATCACGAAATCGGACACACCACCTTCATGAATCGCTAGGTCGTGGATAAAATATACTAGGCTATATTTGTGGTCTATTAATATATAAAATTAAACATAACGTGGCATTTTCCTTTGATGAAAACATTATCTTTTGGTTTAGCTTTACCAATAGCTACGAAAAGCTATTAAGAAGAATATACTTGTCTACCTCGAAACATAATTTGCAACGTCGGACGACGCGAAAGGGTATGCCAAAAGCCCGAGTCGTGCTGGTTGCGTGTAACATTAAAAGATTTCTGCTAAGATTTAAGGCTTGTGACCACAAGAGTATTTAGATTTAATTCTATTTATCTGAACGAGTCGTCGTATAAATACTAAAAGTAGATTATTATTACTATTATTATCATTATCATTATTATTATTATTATTGTCATTGTCGTCGTCATGATTTATTGTTATTATTATTATTATTTTATTATTATCATTATTATTATCATTATCATTATTCATACTGAAATTCTAGAGAGAAAGGCACGTCAGTTTGCATTACATTTATAAATTTATCCAATGTTATTGATACGAAATTATACCGATAACAACGCGGGAAACGTTTTCTAGCGATTGTCCACTTTAAATGTAAAATACGAGTTGCGTGTCGACAGAGCAACGACAGAAAATAAAAGAATCTTCCAATCTACCGTGATTAATTGAATCTTTCAAATGTAACAGCTCGATTGTACGATAAGTAGCAGTAGAGGAAGAATTGCCGATTTGATTCGAGCCGCAAAACAGCTTTCTCAAGGCACGTATTAATCGTGTTCAGGCTTGTTCTGACGCGTCGAGTCCTAATTTTAAAACTACATTCGTAAGGAAGATGTATACGTGTTTAACGAACAATCATATTAATTGCTTGTTCGAAGATATATTGCTAACAATTGCGAGTCATTTAGGATACTGTGAAGTTAATAGGTGTTGTCGAGAAGCAAATAAGTGATGTTACTAATCGTTCCAAATGGACAATTACTATAGAATAAGAGGTGTTTCCGTGAAAATACGATCGCAAAGAACAATAGAAATTTAAAGACCTCCTGTTTGCACCGTCGACCGTGTAAATTAGAAACTTCTTTTGGCCTAATTATACGACGATTGGACTAGTATTGTACTACTAACCGATAGACGATTAAATATATAACGGTGAAAGAGAGTATATACATATAACGTGTATATATAACAAATACATATATATTATTTTTACGATTGCAGATATACATACATTATATTTTCGACTCATTGTTGATCAATGAATTTACAGTTTATCTGTGACGTACACATATAGCGTAACAGATGTGTTATTTTACTCGAACATCAAATTGTTGAACATATATTTTCACCTTACCACCGCATGACTATATTTATCGTAGTTATATTCATTCATCAATAGTTCAAAGTTCGTGCGCGAAGTATTTGTGGTAATTGCACAATTTCAGACCAGGTGCATAACGGCACATGGATTAAGTACGTATATATGTATCGTGATCACTGAGAATGTACCTAATGCTCTCAATAAAGTGTATATTATGATTACTTGTACTTCACATACACAATATAGCGAATTTTATTTCATACCGATCGTTCGATAAACGAACACGTCCAGTTTTTTTGCGATAATGTTAATCAAATATGTTGCATCTTATTTTGCACACAGGAGTTTCGTCGTCTATTCATTATTTTTCTTAGAATTAATTATTGAAGTTTCTCAAAATGAAACTTTTTATATACATATACACTAATACAAAAATTCCATCCACTCTGTACATACAATTGAGGATCCTTACGTATTTATAATTCACTGAAATTTCCAAGCAAATCGGTGAAATACGAGCTTCTACGGAAAATAATTTTCTAGATTTTATCACGAAAATATAAATTGCATACATAAAAGTATATGTGTATACATATATGTATGTACATACACATAAAAATCCTGTCGCTCTTAGAGACAACACAACATATATATGAGATTACGTCTCGGAATTTTCGACTATCAGTATAATCGTTATCGCATCGAGTACAATTATTTTTTTCGTTCGTACTACACAAATGTAGAATTAGCTCTGCGATATCTTGAGATAAGTCCTTGACGTGTTATTTAATATTATTTCGATTCACGTGGTGCCAACGAGTATATAGACAAGTGCCACATTGCCCTACGTTGGCCAGTTCGGTGCCATACGCTGTTGGTTCGATGTGTTGGTTTATCGGTGTAAGCGAGAAAACTGGCATTGTCGTTCGATGGTGGAGGTCCTTCGCGTCACTCGGTTCCATCGGTTCGAACACTTTCCCGGTGATAGACCGACGATCTCGTGACAGCCGTGACGGGGAATCGGTAACTTGGTAGCAAACATGGTTGCGATAAAAGGACGCAAGAACTCGAACAAAAATCCACCGATATTCAGTCATGAGTTTGTCATTCAGAATCATGGAGATATTGTATCGTGTGTGGCTTTAATCTTCGTAACTGGTCTAATGGTGCAGGTCAGTGCTCAGTTTCTTCAACGCTTAACGTGCTTCTCGAGATTTATCAATTATCTTTCTTTACCTTTTTTCATTAAACACGGTTAAACAAACGATATCGAATAGATCGAATGGTAAACGTTTTACTCATTTTTCTATTCGCATATGTTGCTGGCAGAATAACCATATGTTACTATCGCCGACGCTGGTTTAGCGATAAATTCGATGTTTTGATAATATAGACAGTATCTTTTAACTAACAACTTTTACTAGCTACGATGATGATTGTCACTAGATTTCGGTTTACTGCTCCGTTCCATATTGTTGTTATATTCGTTCTTTTTATATATTCTAAACATTTTTTTTTTTGTATATATATATCCTATCGTTTTGTAGGCCACATCACCATGGGCATATACATTCATTGCTCTCCATCATAATGTAACTTCTGACATAGAAGAGCCAACAGCACCGATTAAATATGCAACCGGTTGGAAAGATGCTTGTGCTATATTTTTCTACTTCTTGATTACAATTGTAATCCATGCTGTGTTTCAAGAATATGTATTCGATGTAAGTAATATATACCTCTTTGGTTCATTTTTTTTAATATGCGCATGTTGAAAATGTATCATATGATTTCAGAAAATTTCTAAACGTCTACACCTCAGTAAGGTAAAACTTGCTAAATTTAACGAGTCTAGTCAATTAGTTTTGTTTTATGTTTTGTCTGTAATATGGGGTACAGACATAATTATCAGGTAAAAAAAAAAATGGCAGTAATCTTGCCGTAGCTTTGTATCTTTGTGTTCTAACGTATATTAAACTTATATCCTTTCAGAGAAGATCTGCTGTTAAACATGACATCATTATGGACAGATTATCCCATATTATTAACTTTCTCTTCTAAACTGTTCTTCGTTGGTCAACTTTCTTATTGGCTGCATTGCTATCCTGAATTGTACTTCCAGAGAGTGAAGAGAGAAGACATATTGTCGCGTGCTGCGCAAGCAACAGTGGGATTATTGTTCACTCTTGCTGCTTATATGTTCAAGTATAATTTAATTATTATACATTTCTAATTAATTAATATGCCTCTGCTACTTAATTAATTTCTTATAATTTACATGTTGTTTACAGCTTCCAACAAGTGGGAATCTTGTTATTAGTTTTACACTATGTAGGAGACGTTGTGCTTCATGGAGCTAGAATTATACACTTTGTTAGTAAAAGGGAGAAGATGGTAAAACGTCGGTATTTCAAATTTATGCGAGCCAATGTATACCAACGAAAATAGACATTAATATGACATTGTTTCTGTTTACAGTGACATTCGTTGTTGCAAATTCGATATATGTTCTCGTGCGTGTTGCATCACTCGCTGTTGCAGCTTTGGTTTTCCTGTATGGTTTAAGTCAAGTGGAAAGTGAAATTGATTATGATGCTGGAAACTTTAATATTCCCCTTGTACGATTCTCAGCTTTAAGTGTCATCGTTGTTTTCGAAGCGTATCTTTCTTACGTCTATATTACAAGACAAATTAAGCGCACTCGGGAAAATACGACAACTGTACAAGTAGTAACGAAATCGAAACAAAAATCAAAGAAAAAAGAGGGTAAGATAATCTTGAATATTATTTTTCTAATTGCTACCGAATTATAAGACTGTAATTTAAATAAAAAATTTGTACTTTTTTTTAGGGAAAAAGCCTGCGCTATCAGAAGATGATGATTTACCAGAGGTTGATCAAGCCACTAAGAAAAACCTGAGATCCCGCTCTTCCACAAAAGCAAAATAAATACACAATTAATTAAGAAATTATTCAAGGCTGATTAAAATAATTATTTTCGTTAATCTTTAACGGGAAATACAATTTTCGAAATATTTATTTGTCTTTGCCACATGTAAAGTAAACGACAGATTGAATATCTATGTATATTACTTGAGACTGGTACTTGTGACGCCGCCTTCCACTGTTGTGAAATTAAATACTATAGTTTAACTTTCCTATCCACTGTAGACAAAAGTTACTCTTGTGGGTAAAGAAACATTAACATATTGTATATAATGTATTATACGTTCTATTATATAACGTTGTATACAGGAACAACATATTGTAACTAAAGCATACAAGACAAAACAATAATTTATTTCAAAATAGTGGTATATGATATGAAATACATGGAGCAAATTCATAATTCACTTATCGTACATCAAATTTAGTTATAAATTACTTAAAATGACAAAATCATTTTTATTTCAAATGTAAACTGTATTTTTGTAAGAGAGTAAATTACACATACGTTTTAAAAAATATGTTTGAAACTTAATTTAAGTCGTACACTCCTTGGCATTTTAAAGTTCGAAAGTGGGGAAGAGAATTTTAAATTTAGCGCCATTCTTAGTAAGAATCCGAATAACTCTTAAGGCAATAACGTAAATTTAACATTTATGGTTCGTAACAGTCTTTAATAATCCTGTGCGTTGATCTCTTGTATCTTTAGAACAATTTTGTGTCCTTGGTTTAATTCTTTATGTTGTAATTTTGCTATCATCAATGTTTATAGGCGACCCTGCATTTACATCCGAGCGATGGTGGTGCCCCTTGTGGCAAAATCAAGAAGCTTCGCTTAGAGGATCCGTATAGCGCCAATTGGGATAATGGCAAAACGCTCAAACTGCTAGCCAAAATCGACTGTTAGTAATTTGGTTAACAGTTTGAGCGTTTTGTCACTACCCCAACTGGTGCTGTACAGTCCTTGTACTAAACTTTACTTTTTCTCCACGAGAAGCGCTACGATTGACCGTAAAATATAATTCATCCAATTCATGTTGAGACTTATATTGTATTTTATGGTTAACGAAGATGTAATTAGATGTAAATATATATAACAAGCATTCAATAGTAATGTCTGTCTAAAGTCTAACCTAAGATAAGGATTTGTTTCATTCCATTTTATTGCTTTGAGTACCGAATCGCCTGAAACCTGAGACCTCTACAGGAAAGCCGGTGAAATATTATGCTTAAAGTCGTCGTTGTGGAGTCCGAACGTGCGAATATTATTTGTCGGAAATTATGGAGAAACGAAGAAGTTTAAGTATACGACTAGAGAGATGTAACAGAAGGATCAGCAAAAGCAGCGGTGGCTCCGGCGTGCTGAATCCTGATACGAATAACTTAGGGGACGGTATGTACTGTTTGTGAAAGGTTATGTAGGTTAGGATTTTGTGTATTTATTTGTATACGCATTTAGAGTATCCGTATTGGTGGAGAAATTTAGAAAACACTACGATACCCAGACTATCTACCGATTCTACTAATTTTAATCAGACGAGTCGCCGCTTGCACTCCAATTCGTCTATATGCGAGAATGATCTTGAGGATGGCTGGTGGAACGTTTTGGGAGATACGCCGGCCGATTCGAAATCCCACCAGAAGAACAACGATCCATCGGAGAAAAGTAAGGCGGATTTGTTGCTTTAATATTAGTGGAATTGTAAAGATGTTTTTACTGGATATTATAGTAAATTCTAGTAAATACTGACTTGTTGTTTACATAAAGTAAAACACATTAGTCACTTTTGATACCGTGGCACTCTTATTATGTATTCTTACTATAACTGCATTTGTAAGGACCAAAATATATATGTCAATAGATACAACTACCAGCGCACCAGCGATGTCGGAGTCGGATGAAGAAGGTATGGTAAAAAAAATGAGGCCTCCCCTGCGGTCTATAGTAAAGAAGGCAAAGAAAGGTAGCGACAACGCGTTTTTGGACGTTTTGAAAAACGCGGGTGATTCCAAACAACCAGCATCGCCTTCGAAGAGGAAGTCTTTAAGGAAAGGAATGGGATTTTCCGTTGCGGCAGATTCTCCTGTGATCGCTGCTCCGACAGATCCGAGCAAAGTTCAAAATTTGTTGACCGAGTACGAGCACGATCTGTCGACCAATTCTCTACCGAAAGCAAGTAGCACGCTATTGGACAGCACTAGCGTGTCCCGACAAGACAGTCAGGGAAACAGCAACAGCGACACAGAATATATAGTGATGAAGCCCAAGTCGAAGCTTCTGAGGCGACACAATAGAGAGACGAGGAAGGAGGAGAAGAATCTATTCGAAGATGTTCTGTTCCAGAAGACGATCGACAAGGATCTAAACCGATCGCTTCACGATGCTGGCACAGTGGTTGACGTGGAAATAAAAGTGCCCAAGTTGCAGATTGAAGCGGACAAGAGCAAACCCATAGACGCAAACAGAAACATCTCTGAGACTTTGGAAAGTTCCGCCAACACGAGTTCCATCATCTTTCAACCGCTGAAGCCTAAGTCCAAATTCCTGGGAGGTCTACGGAGGAGTCCTAGGACGAACATTCTTAAAAATATTCTCGACGATAGTGATTCATCGGCTACGTTAGTTACTTCGAATCGTTCCGAACACGAAGAACATCGGAACAACAAAACTGTGCGATCATCAGATGGTAGATCTCGTGTGATCAGCGCAGAAAGCACCGACGACCGACTCGTAGGGGATATCAGTGTTGCAACGGATGAGAGCGTCTCCACCCCGAAGAGGAACAACAAAACTTTGCGATCATTAGATGGTAGATCTCGTGTGATCAGCGCAGAAAGCACCGACGACCGACTCGTAGGGGATATCAGTGTTGCAACGGATGAGAGCGTCTCCACCCCGAAGAGGAACAACAAAACTTTGCGATCATTAGATGGTAGATCTCGTGTGATCAGCGCAGAAAGCACCGACGACCGACTCGTAGGGGATATCAGTGTTGCAACGGATGAGAGCGTCTCCACCCCGAAGAGGAACAACAAAACTTTGCGATCATTAGATGGTAGATCTCGTGTGATCAGCGCAGAAAGCACCGACGACCGACTCGTAGGGGATATCAGTGTTGCAACGGATGAGAGCGTCTCCACCCCGAAGAGGAACAACAAAACTTTGCGATCATTAGATGGTAGATCTCGTGTGATCAGCGCAGAAAGCACCGACGACCGACTCGTAGGGAAGATTCGCGTTGCAACGGANCGTGTCCACCCCGAAGACATACAACAAAACTTTGCGATCATCAGATGGTAGATCTCGTGTGATCAGCGCAGAAAGCACCGATGAACGACTCGAAGGGAAGATTCCCGTTGCAACGGAAGAGAGCGTGTCCACCCCGAAGACATACAACAAAACTTTGCGATCATCAGATGGTAGATCTCGTGTGATCAGCGCAGAAAGCACCGACGACCGACTCGTAGGGAAGATTCGCGTTGCAACGGAAGAGAGCGTGTCCACCCCGAAGACATACAACAAAACTTTGCGATCATCAGATGGTAGATCTCGTGTGATCAGCGCAGAAAGCACCGACGACCGACTCGTAGGGAAGATTCGCGTTGCAACGGAAGAGAGCGTGTCCACCCCGAAGAGAAACAACAAAACTATGCGATCATTAGATGGTAGATCCCGCGTGATCAGCGCAGAAAGCACCGACGACCGACTCGTACGAGAGATCAGCGTTGCAACGCGAGAAAGCGTCTCCACCCCGAAGACATACAACAAGACTTTGCGATCATCAGATGGTAGATCTCGTGTGATCAGCGCAGAAAGCACCGGCGACCGACTCGAAGGGGAGATTGGCGTTGCAACGGAAGAAAGGATCTCCACCCCGAAGACAAAGGAAATCTCGAGGAGGCGGAGCGAACCTCGAAGAATAACGTCCTTATTGTCGTCCAGCGACTCCGACCTGGAGTCCTTTGAGTCTTCCAAGAGGAGTAGCCGAAGGTCACTTGGCGTGAAGCCGTCATCGGCGAAGCGGAGGCGTAGCGAGAGGCAGAGCAGTCTTCGAAAATCGGGCTCGTATTCCTCGAAAAGGGAGGAGGACGAAACGCAAAGCTTGGCGGTTTCGGTTTCCTCGAAGGGAACCGAAAAGTTTAAGAGCTTCGCGCAGAATCGGAGCAAGAGACAGAGCTACGTTCAAAAAGAAACATCAATGCCGAGGGCCAATGTTTCAGCAGCGGAGAATTCGTTTGCAAATACTACGTCGGATGGTCGAACGCGCCCGAGAGATCGGAACCAGTCTAAAAACGATGTTAACTCCTCGGTCGGAAAGTCATCGTCGCTTCCAATTAGCGAAGTAGAAACGGAAACTGGCGAACGACTCGAAGGGGAGGACCGCGTTGCAACGGAAGAGAGCGTCTCCACCCCGAAGAGGAACAACAAAACTTTGCGATCATTAGATGGTAGATCTCGTGTTATCAGCGCAGAAAGCACCGACGACCGACTTTTAAAGGAGATTCGCGTTGCAGCGGAAGAGAGCGTTTCCACCCCGAAGAGAAACAACAGAACTTTGCGATCATTAGATGGCAGATCTCGTGTTATCAGCGCAGAAAGCACCGACGACCGACTCGTAGGAGAGATCAGCGCTGCAATGGGAGAAAGCGTCTCCACCCCGAAGACAAACAACAAAACTGTGCGATCATTAGATGGTAGATCTCGTGTGATCAGCGCAGAAAGCACCGATGAACGACTCGTAGGGGAGATTCGCGTTGCAACGGAAGAGAGCATTTCTACCTCGAAGACAAACAACAAAACTGTGCGATCATTAGATGGTAGATCTCGTATTATCAGCTCAGAAAGCACCGACGACCGACTCCTAAAGGAGATCCGCGTTGCAACGGAAGAGAGCGTTTCCACTCCGAAGACAAACAACAAAACTGTGCGATCATTGGGTGGTAGATCCCGCGTGATCAGCACAGAAAGCACCTCCTGTTCCGAGGACGTTCGTCTGAAACTGTCGAACAGTTCCGACTCGTCAGACGCGGAGATGATAAGAGTGAGTGCCAAGAAGACTTTCAGCTCTCAGAACAACGATGATCAAGTTCCCAGTTCACAGCCACCAGTTGCGGGCGATCGAGTATCCGTCGGTTCGCGTCGGAAATCTGTTTTGCCGAAAGAGGTCGAGAAAGGCGGAGGTACCCATTCCAGGACCAGTGCGAACCGGACAATGGCGATTGTTGGGACATCGGAGGAACCGGTCGAGGCTGAAAAGACTGTCGGAGGACGGAGCCGCGAAATCTCGAGGAGGCGGAGCGAGCCTCGGAGAATAACGTCCTTGTTGTCGTCCAGCGACTCCGACCTGGAGTCCGACGAGTCTCTCAAGAGGAGTAGCCGAAGGTCGCTCGGCGCGAAGCCGTCGTCTGCGAAGCGGAGGCGAAGCGAGAGGCAGAGCAGTCTTCGTAAATCGGGCTCGTATTCCTCGAAGAGGGAGGAGGACGAACACGTGGACGAAACGCGAAGCTTGGCGGTTTCGGTTTCCTCGAGAGGAACCGAAAAGTTTGAGAGTTTCGCGCAGAGTCGGAGCAAGAGACAGAGCTACGTCGGAAAAGAAACATCGTTGCCGAGTGCCAGTGTTTCCGCAGCCGAGAATTCGTTCGCAAAAACCACGTCGTTTGGTAGATCGCGCCCGAGAGACCGGTCTGAAAACGACGTCAACTCCTCGGTCGGGAAATCACCGTCGCTTCCAATTAGCGAAGCGGAAACGGAAACCGACGAACGACTCGAAGAGGGGATCCGCGTTGCAACGGAGGAGAGCGTCTCCGGCCCGAGGAAACGAAGCGGGGTCGCGATTAGATCGATCGGATCGATCGAGATCGGGAAGCCCGACGCATCGAGCAGGAAGATCGGCGACGAACAGCCTCGGAAGCGGTCGTCTTCGCGCGGCATCGTCGACCGCGTCGCGGAGCCGTTCGATCCTGCCGTAGAGGAGAACGATCCCGGCACGAGCAGGACCAGTGGACTGGCGTTTTCGCCTAATCGGATCAACGTAGAATCGGGCCGAAGACGAACCGGTCGTGTCGTCGAGGTCGATGGGAAAGAGAACGCGAAGCAGCATCCGACGTTAGAGTCGCGGAACGTCGACGGGGATTCGAACGCGGTCGGAAGAACGTCGCGCGTCGAAGCTGGCCTCGGCGAAGCGAAGAGCTCTACGACCTCGCAGGCAGTCGCGAAGGGTCAGCGGCGTATGGAGGACTTCTTCCAGGCGAAGACGAGCGCGTCCAAGGTGCTCTCGAACGTCGAGGCGGCGCAGAAGATCCGGAAGAAGCTGGACGAGATGAAGAAGCGGGAGATCACGGAGGTGAAGAGAACTTGGGCCGATAGCGGGGCGAAGCTGCCGGGAGAGAGGCGAAAGAACGTCGTCGGCAGGTCAGCGGCGAGGTCGAAGAAGCCGAGTTCCGAGCCGCCGGCGCAGGTGCACAAAGCTTTTCTGGTGAACGGCCGGGTGTACAAGCAGCCCCGGCTCCCGCGCCCGACGAAATGGGTGACGGACCGGCTGTACCATTTCCTGTGGAAGCGGATGCAGCCGAAGTTCGAGCAGGAGACGAGGATGCTGTCCGAGAGGTTCGTCCGCGAGTTGTGCGAGGTGTCCGCCTTGATAGCGAGACGAAAGCTGTACGCCTCGTACAAAGCGGAGATGCACGCGTTGATGAAGGAGATGGCGCGGCTCCATATCATACGCACCCGACACGATTTCTATAATTTCTGCCACGACTACCTGCCGTACGAGCTGCGCGTCAAAATGGTGCCCATGCTGCTGCCCGGAAACCAGAGGAACATCCCTTACGAGCCGAACGAATTGCACGAGCCGCTGCTCGATTCTTGACTCTGCCACGCCGCTATCAGTATTCTCGAACGTTTCGAATGTGTTTGACCTTTTAGGCCCGACGCGCCGCTATAGCGGCTTTCGCGGGTGTCATTTCTCTGGACGACGCGCCACTATAGTGGCTTGCTCTGGTAGCTCACTCGCTCATCGTTCGAACCAAATAATCGTCTTCATACGCATTGTTTCACACTTCTTTTGTCTTCGCATCGATTTACGACAGTCTACAGGGTGTCCCAAAAATGTCTCGCAATCCGGAAATGCCGGGTTCCTCGGATCGTTCGAAGCAACTTCTTCCTTTACAAAAATGTTCTCCGAGGCACCGTTAACGAGTTATCAACGAAAAACAGCGACCAATAAGAATCGAGTACGGCTGACGCGAGGCGGCCCAGCCGACCAGCGCGCGAAGCCCGGTTCCGCTCGTTGGCTCGGTCGCCTCGCGCCAGCCGAGCTCGCCTCTCATTGGTCACTGTTTTTCGTCGATAACTCGTTAACGGTGTCTCGGAGAACATTTTTGTAAAGGAAAAAGTTGCTTCGAACGGCCCGAGGAACCCGCCACTTTCGAATTGCGAGACATTTTTGGGACATCCTGTATAAACGGACAGAATATACAGTATCAGACGCTGCCGTCCAGAGAAATAGCCTCGCGCAGAATTCAGCCGTACCTAAAAGGTTAAGTCGACATCGAATCGACGACGCCGATGGATCGGCCCGCTCCTCGGCAACGTTCTCGCCTATTCTCAGCTTCCGGCAACGTTGTATTAAGAAGTTTTGAAGCGTTTCATTAATTTCAGTTGTTGTACGAAACTGTTGGCTCGAATTGAAACTGACTCGAGTCGAAGCGGAAGACGAGAGTTTGGAGACATCTCCCCTTTGTTCGCGTTTCCGAGGAGCAACGCTCAACGTCGAACGTGCGCGCAGCAGCAAACGAACTGTGTGCTCGCGCGTCTAGGAACCATTGTTTAGTGTATTCTCAGAGAATCTATTTTCTACTCGATTATATAGTCGACCCGAAATACAAATATTTTGATAAAAGCCGACCAAAGATTTGCTGTGTTTCATTTCGACCGATCGACCCGATCCTTGCGTGCGATTTTTCGTCCGAAGCGTTTCCCACGCTCGACGGATTAACGTCGGCACCCTTTCGCGCGCGTAGGTAGCGGCGACTAAGGGGTGGGTGACCGGCAACCGTGCCTACGATTCGACCGTGAAAACTCTGAACACTAGTGTCCGCACGCGTAGTTGCAGTCGACGATCTCGGGGGGCCGATTTTTTTCCATGAAATCGCGGTAATAATAATAATGGCAATAATAATAATAGCAATCATAATAGTAATAATAATGGCAATAATAATAATAGCAATAACAATGGCAGTAATAATAATAATAATAACAACAACAACAATAATAATAATAACAATAATAATGGCAATAATAATGACAATAATAATAATAATAGCAATAATAATGGCAATAATAATAATAATAATAATAATAGCAATTATAATGGGAATAATAATAATAATAATAGCAATTATAATGGGAATAATAATAATAATAATAATAATAATAATAATAATAATAATAGCAATTATAATGGGAATAATAATAATAATAATAGCAATTATAATGGCAATAATAATAATAATAATAATAACAATTATAATGGCAATAATAATAGTAATAGCAATTATAATGGCAATAATAATAATAATAGCAATTATAATGGCAATAATAATAATAATAGCAATAATAATTTTATTTATCAACGGGATGAACCCTTCGTTACAATGAGAGAGAAAGAGAGGGAGAGAGAGAGAGAGAGAGCGAGAAGCAGTCACGCAAGGGCGGATGAAATATAAAAACCAAAAGCAAAAAGGGTGGAAAGGAAAAGCAAACTTAAATACAAGCACTTGAGACAGAAAGCCGTTCTTTTTAACGCTAAAGAGCGCAGTATTTTGCAACCCGATTTAACTCGATAGCATATTCGTCCTGAGAAAACATCGTTTCGAATGTGAACAAAGTTTCGATAATTTTTGCTAATTCCCCCGCCTCCGTCTCCGCCCCCCTTTCTTTCTCGCGCGAACAGCTGTTCGTCGGGGCACACCGCGCTCGACGAGAATTGCGACCGCCACGGGTTTTACAAATATTTGCGAGAGATCGAGCGTCGAATTGACGCAATACGATACGTGACCGAGAAAATACTCGCTCGAGATTAGTCGGCCGGGCAGCCTCGTTACCGCGACTTTTGACCCTCGGTCGACGAGCAAACAGATTCTTCGTCACAGGTTTATCCTCTTCTCTCTCTCTCTTCTCGCCGTCTCTGTTCAACGTTTTCCGGGCGATCGTTCAACTTTTCCAACTAAACGGAAAGCGTAGCTTCGATCGAAACTTTGTTCACATTCGAAACGATGTTTTCTCAGAACGAATATGCTATCGAGTTATATAGGGTTGCAAAATATTACGCTCTTTAGCGTTAAAAAGAACGGTTTTCTGTCTCAAGAGAGAGTGCTTGTGTTTAAGTTTGCTTTAACTTTCATTCTTCTTTGCTTTTTGTGTTTGTATTTCATCCGCCCTTGCGTGACTGCTTCTCTCGCTCTCTCTCTCTCTCTCGCTCTCTTTCTCTCTTTCATTCTAACAAAGGGTTCATCCAGTTGATAAATAAAATTATTATTGCTATTATTATTATTGCCATTATTATTATTATTACTGCCATTATTATTGCTATTATTATTATTGCCATTATTATTGCTATTATTATTATTTCCATTATTATTGCTATTATTATTATTATTGCCATTATTATTGCTATTATGATGGCTATTATTATTATTATTATTATTATTATTGATATTTTTATTACTACTATTAATATAAAGCTACGTCTTTTTTCTCCCCCAGCGCAATTTCCGTAAATTTTGATTAGTTCTGTTCGAAAGGACATCGATTTCCTTGAAACTCGAAGAGCTACCGCCCCAAGAGAAATCATGTCTCTCTGCTGTATCGAAGTTAGCGTTCGCGAAAGAGCAAAGGGCTCGGGGGTGGTGTGGGGGCGGGGGGTGATTGTCGAACGGTCGCGTCGGGTGTCCGGCGAACCGCATCGATTAACCAAACGAATTTCACCGGGCCTCGTTTGAAGTTTAATCTCTAATGGAACGGTCGTCGCAATTAGGCCAGACTTATTTCCACGCGCACCACCTACGCGGTAATGTTTGAACGAGCATTTGTGGACACGTGACGGGGCACGCGGCGACCGGCACGCGTCGCTCGTTATTCCATCGCCAGCGGCGATTGTTTCCCTCGAAAGCGATTAGGTTTCGTTCTCATATTCCCATCGCCGCGAAACGTACGGCACCCGATTGAACCGCGCGCGCGCTGCCTTTTTCTCGGACGCGTTAAACGCGTCCGAATGTCTGGACTTTCTCGCCGCGCTATCGAATTCCCTCGGTCGTCATCTTTCTCCCTCAACGGTGAATATACCGCGTGCCGGTCGAAATGATCGGTCACACGGTTTTGTATTTTAACCCTTAGTACTCCGAACCATTCTGGACGTTGGCTACCAGCTACTCGGCGCCACTTTTCGGCAGAAACGGGCATTTACAGACCCTCGGATTATTTAGTATGCTTTTGGAACTAACTAACATATTATAATGATATTGAACTTTTATGAATTGCCTGAAATCGAGAAATTTGCAAAAAAATCAATATTTTATTTTTTATAATTTTGTTATCGTTTGTTTTATAATTTTGTTTCGTTGTCGTAATCGCTATCTATGCGAACTCTTTCTCTCGTCGCCTCGTTGCTTGGACGATATCGCTATCGCTGCTATCGAAACGATAAACTAACTGTAGAAGAAAACCTTCTACAGTTAGTCTTTCTAACAAATCTGTATAAACGTCTATCCGGAGCTCATCTTCGCCACTACTCGTGTCATCAGACTCATTCGTGTTCGAACGTTTTGCCATTGTTCTAATAAAAGATACGAATAAATACATAGGTTGAAAATTTCTAATTGTTATTACTAACTCGCAAGATGATATTTACCAAAAAAACTTTCACCAAACGATTTATTTACCAAGAGAAGAATCACTTTTCCGATTTTCTCACTCGTTAGATCTATCTGTACCGCTCGACGCTTCGAACCAGACCGAGTTCGGCTTTGAAAATCTTTACCTCCAGATTTTATGATTATAAATCTCGCTGTACAGTGCGTGCTATGTTCGCATACCGAT